AATCTAATTAATTTTAAAAAATACATTGATTAGACAGAGTGTACATTTAGGTAAAAACCTTGATCCAGATACTTCTGTTACTCCCTGATAGCCTACTCATGCCCAGCTGTCCGTACCTTGTACTGTATTCTTTTGGGACCTTTTATCTTTTACTTGTGCTGATTCCTCTGTCTAGGAAGTCCTCAGTTTTCTCACCTGTAGTGGATACTGAGGATTGCCTCTGCAGACCTCAAATCTTTTCTTCTAGTAATCTAGTTGGAGAGATTGGAAACTGCAAAACTACATTTGTCCGACTCCCTTGCAGCTAGGGTCTGGATCTGAAATAAGTTCATTAAACCGGTTGCAATCCTGTGAGATTTGTCAGGCTGATGCAAAGAGAAGGCATCATTCTGCTGTGGTTGCTGCTGGCAAGCAAGGTTTGAGAAGTAATTTCAACAGACATTTAACGTTTTGGGCCTCAGTGTCCTGTCTCAGTGTCTAGTCACCAGTTTCGTAGATACGAAGAGCCGTTGCAGCGGCAGCCCCATCCTGACTTCTGAAACAAACCTCCTTTGTTCTAAAATCTGGCCTAAGGGATGTCCCACCTCATGCCTGCTCTGCAAAGGCCCTTGAACTCAACAGTCCAGGCGTAGGCTCATGACTTCTGGGGGGCCAGCCCTTTTAACAGTTTTATAAGCCCTGCTTGATTCTCAGTATTAAATCTTTCTCTGCTTGAAATACCTAGAGTGGTTTCTGCTTCCTATATTAAACCCTGAGTGATAGATCACCTAACTCATATTCAGCCTTCCAAACACAGCTTGAGTCTTCCCTGACACTAGGTTGGGCTAGGTGCCTCCTCTGTACTCCCACCATGCCTTGCCTGTTAAGTCCATGCCTCATCATGTTTGCACCCCTGGCACCAGTGCTTGGCTCACAGTATGCACGACATCAATATTTACTGAACCAAAGCTTTCTCTGCCAAGGTAACACGAAGGTCCAGAAATCTGGCCTAAGGGGTGTCTCCCACCTCATGCCTGTTCTGCAAAGGCCAAAGAACAAATTGGCTCTAGACTTATATTGGATTCTAGACGAATCCAGAGCCCTCAGCTTTCCTACACGTTAGCTTCCCCACACAAGAGGCCACTCTAGAATTGATGATTCAACCTGGTCTTCAGGAAAGGGATGCTAAGGAACAAAGGAAGTTGTTTATCTCAAGATTTACCCTCTAGTGTTGGGACTACAACGAGCATAGGTTTTAGAGTCAGGAAAACCCAAGTCAGAAGGTACATAACCTTGGGTAACAAGTTACTTAACTTGTCTGAACCTCAGTCTCTTCATCTGTAAAATGGGGATAATAACACCAAACTTACGAGATTCTTGGGGGTAAAAGAGAGTATATATTCAACACGCCTAGCACAGTGCGTGCATATTGGAAATGCTCCGTTCCCATCAACTACTGTTATCATGGCCATCACTGTTGTTAGCTGTATCATCAGTATACCACAATTCTATTGCTTTACATAATTTTTCCTTCACTCTCAACTCCCATGGAATTAGACAGGAAGGCGCTTCCCTAATATCTTCTCCTGAGATGTTCCATTTTGCATACTGATGTGATTAACGCTTTTTGCAGAGAAGATCCAGCCAGGCCTAAGTTTGCAGCTTGTACTGAGGAAATAACAAAACCATCTATGTCAGTGTTTCTCGACACTAGCTGAAAATCAGAATCACCCAGAGAGTTAAAATCAAAGCAGCACCAAAACCAACCAACCAAACAAAACCAAAAACAATATCTGGGTCCCTCAATCAGAAACACCAGTGTTTCTTAAAGCTCCCTAGGTGACTGTAATGTGCAGCTGAGAGCTACTGCTCATTGTGGGAAAGATGAGTACTTCCATTAGCTCTGGGGGAAAAGAAAGAAGCTTTTACTTTTCTATAATCTCTGTCACAGTGGGGGAAGAGAGAGGACTAAAGATTATAGTTGAATGATTCCACTTCTAATGTGAACAAGACATTCTCATTACGAACCTGGACAAATGACTCATCATGTTAATCCTCTGGTTAGTGTCTTGATTTCTTGTCTAGAGGTGTCTGATTCAATGAGGAGTAATCAGAGATGCTCTAGGACATGTAAGGAGCTAGTCTGGAAATACCTGTGAGGGATTCATGTTGGCTCGTGGGTGTCTATCCTGTGCCAGCACTGTGCACACTCGTAGGCTGGTTGCTGATGTCAGGTGTATGCATTTTGATCGAGGGCAAGTGAAATGATCCCTGCTTAGTATCAAATTGAGTTAATATCTAAATGCTAGAGATAGCTGGCGACAGCTGGGAGTGTGCTTGGACATAAAGTACATCTAAAAAAAAGTAACAATTTTTTTTATTAAAGTAATATACAAAAGTAAATATACAAGATTGGAAAAACAGAAAAATAGAATGAACCATAGTAGAAATTAATAATAATAACTAAGACTCATATAGACCTACTAGGTGCTAGACATGGCTCTAAGCCCTTTACCATGTAAATTCATTTATCCCTCACTACAACTCTATGAGGTTGATAACTATTTGTAACTCCATTTTATAGACAAAGAAAGAGGACCTGGAGCTGTTAGGTGACTTGTCAAAGGTGGCACAGCTAATAAAAGCAGAGATGAGGTTTGGACTCATGCTGCATTTAACAGGGTATGGTCAACCTCAGATATAGCTCATAAGGTAAGGTAAGCTGTATTCAAGGATTCAATGCCAGTTGCTAAAGTTTAAAAAGTTAATCTCAGTTGTCATTCATTCATCCATTTATTTCATGACTATTTATTGAAGGCATCTATGTGCAGCATACTAGTGTAGGCTTGATTATCAAGATATTGAAGAGAATACAAAGACTACTGTCCATTCATTCCTACAGCATTGGACTCTCAAGTGCCTCAGCAGAATAATCCATGCATAATCAACACAAGTCTAGTGAGATTTAAAATGCTATAACTAATCTCCAGTGACAGAATCTAAAACCAATACTTCGAAACTTTTGGAATGTCACGTGCTTACTAGATGGAATGGTTAGCATTATTGTCTGTATTTTCATCAATTAATAAACACACCTGGGACAATAATGTAAGCCGATTTTCATGAGTTTGGCTTTGAATAAACATGCTTAATATAGCAGTAGTGTCTTCAACTCAGAAATTTGCTGTTTATTGGATGAATAGATGGATAGATGGCTACATGGAAGGCTATATGAGTAAATTGATAGACTACAATGTTTGGCAATGTTTTAGGTGCTTAAAAATGCATCTTAAAAATAATTTGGTGTTTTTTAGTTTGTTGAATAATAAATTATGACTCACGAAAAAATTTTGATTTCTCTTCTATCCAATGACTAAACAAGTAACATCGAATGAATCATTATGGTGCCAGTTTTATATGATTGTTTTGAAGATTAAATGAACTGATAATGTAAATGAATTATTTAGTACCCTGCCTAATACATGTTAAACAGTCAGCATATTTTAAACTGCCTTTAAATTTGAAGTACTATATGTAAAAAAGCAAAAATTCGAATGATACAAAAAGCTATACAATGCAAAATAAGTCTCTTTTGGCAAAGTTTTCTGCTGTTATTACTATTATTAGAGATCTCCAAGCAAAAATAATATTTCGTTATTGATTAAGAGAGAGGTTTACAGACCAGCAGATAATGTTGTCTGAGTCAGAACCAGGTGTAATAACACAAGTATTCTGACTAAATTCCAGCGGGAGTGATTAACATTCTCCAACTTCAAATAATTTTTATTATTAGCCAACACTTGTCCATCCCCAATAATACACCCGTCACATAAAGGGCACAGAATGAGACAGCCCTCCCCTGGCATGTTCACGATCTGCACATACTTTCCACTGAGGATTTCCCTTTCTTTTTGACTTCTATTCCATGGCTTTTCAACTGCCACTACTTTCAACCCTGGGAAGTGTGCCCACCCAGAGTGCCAAGTATTTCCAAAAAACAAGAGATAAAATATGAACACCTGTAGAATTCCAGGGAATGAAAGATGTAATAATGTACAATTAAAACATAATTATTAATAGTTCTGATGTTTGTGAAGCTATTATTATTCCTTTTAACTCTGAGGTTAGGATTAATACACATATTCTTCATTATTTCCCACAAAACCTTGTTGACAAGGGAGAGGGAGAGGGCTGTTTTGTCATTTAGTCTCCCTATCTGTACAAATGGGATCCAGGACATAATAACGGCAATAATCGCGGCCTATCTCACTCCATGGGTTCAGTCCTGAGTCCTCCAAGTCCCCTGGCCCTCCAGCCTTTTTTTGCCTTCTTTCCAGAAGGCAGGCATGGAGGGGCGAGAAACAATGCAAACCCTCTTTGTAAGAGTGTGAATGAATTTCAAGTATGCTATACACCTCAGTCCTCTCACCTAATTAGAACACGTAGAAAAGAGGAATTTTTAGGACATTTAAAACGTGCAGCATAAAAACCCATCTGGGAGCGCCACTGTGTGTCCCTGCAGTTAAAGCGCTCAGCAGGGCTTCCCGCAGGCGGCGGCTGCTCAGTGAGCCCCGACTTCTGGCCCCGGGAATCGTGGGGGTGCACGGCTAAGCAGCCGGCAGCCCCCAGGGGGCCCGGCGCACTGCCCATTACAGAGCCGGGAACTAGCATTGCTTCTCTCTGCGGGGAACTGCCTGGCATTTTAAACATCGACTGATAAAGGACTAATATTTCTCGAGTCTGCCAGACAGAAAATCACTTTCTTGTCACAACCATAAAATTTTGTTACGACATGCAAAAGTAAAGGTTGAAGCGGGGACATAGATGTTGGGAGTGGTTAAAATTGCAGATGCCACGGCCCAATTACCTAGGTTCGAATTCTGGGTTTACCATTTGAAAGCCTACTGTGTGTCAGGCGCTCGGAATACCCCAGGGAACAAGAAGGTCTAGGTCTGTTATTAGCTCGGTTACGTTGGTCAAGTTTATAAACCTCTGTTTCTTCACCTGTAAAGTGTACCTACCTCATAAAATTGTTGCAAATATCTGAGATCTTGTATTAAGATGTAAACGATTCACGCGCTGTCAGGCACACAGTAGGGGCTCTATAAGCATTCGCTCTTCTCCCTACTTGAGCTCTCCTGGTACCAGCACAGCAGAGCGGAGACAGGTGCCACGGCTAAGAATGATTCTTTGAGCAGTTTTTTTAAACAAGCGCTGGACTCTGTAAGGATGCTTAGCAGCAGAGAAGAGAACTGGGGACCTAGAATCAAAGGTTCATAAGCTAAAACATTACAGGAAAGTGAGCCCCGTACCCGCGGGCGCCAGCAGAGAACTTGAGATTTCTAGCTAGGGTTTCCCGCCCCGGGTCTCAAGAAGGTGATTACCATTCTCCCCGCCCCCGTCGCTTTTCGATCCGCGATTGGCCCACATTCCTCGGCTGCCCGCTCTGGGCGGGGCCGGAGGGCGCGGGGAGGAGAGGCCAAGCCCGTGGGGCAGTGGGCGGGGACGCGTGGAGAGCGTGGCGGGGCAGCCCACCAACCGAGCCCCAGCGCGAGGGGGCGGGCCCGGGGCGGAGCCTCCCGGCGGGCTTTAGAAGCAGGTGACCGGGCGGAGCAGGAGAGGCCAGTCAGCCTGCGGCCGTGACTCCCCCGCTGTCGCCACCGCCGCGGAGGGCCGCTCAGTGCCAGCTGGAGGTAGGCGAAAGGGTGCGAGCGCGCGGGGGAGGAGCTGAGCCAGGCGCGTCCCAAGAGCGCCGCCCCCGCCCCCAGGAGTCCGCTGGAGCGAGGAGCCCCCTGCAGGGGAGGAGGCGAGCGGCGGGCGGGACGCGGCGGCGGGCGCGCACCATGCAGTCCCGGCGGGGCCAGCGCCGGCTGTTCACCGTACTGTGAGACTGCTGGGTCCTCCGGCCGCCGCATACTGCCTTCCTCTCGCCTAGGTGCTGCAGGCGCGCTCGCTCTTCGTCTGGCTCTTGGACCCCGGTGAAACGCACGGCCTGCCCCTGCCCTGCCCCGCCCGGATCATGCGGGGGGCCCCGGAGGAGGAGAAGGCGAGTGACCGACCTGCGGCGACCGTGTTCAGGGGGCGACTCCCTCTCTGAGACGCCCCCACCTGCTGCCATGTGCCGCCGCCTCGGATACCCAGCTTATCGCCAAACTTTCCCGGTGCCAGCTTGGCTCTGAGTCGCGTTTCTGAGTAGAGTATCCCAGGGACGGAGGACCCAGGCTGGCTGCGGACTATCTGCTTCTCTGGGGATCCGCGTAGGTGAGATCCCGCGCCTTCCCCTTCTCCCAGTTCTTCTCCCTGGCCCTCTATCCTTTTATGGGAGGGAGGGGGGGACTGTGCGCTCTGACTCCGGGGTCCAACCTGGAGGGCCCAGCGGAAAGGGAGGCGGGGCGGGGCGTGGAGTCTGTAGTTTGGTTTCTGGAGGTGGAGAGGAGAGAAGCGAGAGAGGTTAGGTTTGGAGACCGCTTGCAGGGACTGAGCCGTTGACGCCCCTCTAATTGAGAGTGGTTGCAATTTTTCTTCTTCCCCATCTTCTTTTTTAAAGAGTACTTTCCCTGGAATCGGAGCCCTAACTGCTTCTCCCCAGTCCTATCCGGCGAAGAGCTGAGCGCTGCCTGCGGAGGGAAGCAGCGCCTTCCCGAAACAGTTTAGCTTTGGGTGGATTTCTTGAAGAGAAAAAGAAACCAACAGGTTGCCAGCTCCGGCGCCACACAGAAGTCGGCGGAGAGGGAAGCCCCGGCCCCGGTTTCCCCTGCCTGCGTCGGCCCCGCGTGGGCCGCGGGAGGCGAGGGGAGGGAGGGGGCTATGGCTCGGTCTGACCCGTCTGCGCCGCCCTCGCTGCTGCTGCTGCTCCTGGCGCAGCTGGCGGGCCGGGCGGCGGCCGCCTCCAAGGCCCCAGTGTGCCAGGAAATCACGGTACCCATGTGCCGCGGCATCGGCTACAACCTGACGCACATGCCCAACCAGTTCAACCACGACACGCAGGACGAGGCGGGCTTGGAGGTGCACCAGTTCTGGCCACTGGTGGAGATCCACTGCTCTCCGGACCTGCGCTTCTTCCTGTGCTCCATGTACACGCCCATCTGCCTGCCCGACTATCACAAGCCTCTGCCTCCTTGCCGCTCCGTGTGCGAGCGCGCCAAGGCCGGCTGCTCGCCGCTCATGCGCCAGTATGGCTTCGCCTGGCCGGAGCGCATGAGCTGTGACCGCCTCCCAGTACTGGGCCGCGACGCCGAGGTACTGTGCATGGATTACAACCGCAGCGAGGCCACCACGGCGCCCCCGAGGCCCTTCCCTACCAAGGCTACCCTCCCAGGCCCACCAGGGGGGCCATCCTCAGGGGGCGAGTGCGCCGCTGGGGGGCCGTCGGTGTGCAAGTGCCGCGAACCCTTCGTGCCCATCCTGAAGGAGTCGCACCCGCTCTACAACAAGGTGCGGACGGGCCAGGTACCCAACTGCGCGGTTCCCTGCTACCAGCCCTCCTTCAGCCCCGACGAGCGCACGTTCGCCACCTTCTGGATCGGCCTGTGGTCTGTGCTGTGCTTCATCTCCACCTCCACCACTGTGGCCACCTTCCTAATAGACATGGAACGTTTCCGCTACCCCGAGCGCCCCATCATCTTCCTTTCAGCCTGCTACTTGTGCGTATCACTGGGCTTCCTGGTGCGCCTGGTCGTGGGCCATGCCAGCGTCGCCTGTAGCCGAGAGCACAGCCACATTCACTACGAGACCACGGGCCCTGCGCTGTGCACTGTTGTCTTCCTACTGGTCTACTTTTTCGGCATGGCCAGCTCCATCTGGTGGGTCATCCTGTCGCTCACCTGGTTCTTGGCAGCTGGCATGAAGTGGGGCAATGAGGCCATCGCCGGCTATGCGCAGTACTTCCACTTGGCTGCATGGCTCATCCCCAGTGTCAAGTCCATCACCGCGCTGGCACTGAGCTCCGTGGATGGGGATCCAGTGGCTGGCATCTGCTACGTGGGCAACCAGAACCTGAACTCACTGCGCGGCTTTGTGCTGGGTCCTCTGGTGCTCTACCTGCTGGTG